ACCCTTGCTTTCGTGGCCTCCGCTTCCTGGTCCTCTCCACCTTTAGGGAAACCAAGAGAGCACTCTGCCAGCAGCTAGAGCAGCGTGACCGGGTGTGTAACCCAGTGGCGCGCGGACGTGAAGGAAAGCCGTAGGCGTCTGCGCTTTCCTGCCCCCGAGACGTTTTAGACACCGGTGAGTGCCGGGGTCTCGGCCCCCACCCCCAGGGGACCCCGGAGCGGCCTGACCCCGCCTCTTCCTTGAGGAGGGCCTGGGCACTAGCCCATTCCCAGCATGCTCCACGCGGGACGCCAAGGCAGGTGCTAAAGGAGGAATAGTCAGTGGGGGAGACAGAGAGTCGCCCTTCTGGAGGCGCTCCTTTGGCCCCACAAGTTGAGTCTTGAAGTGATCGTGTCCTACCCCTCACTTCTGTTCTCCCTTTCGTCCTCTTCCCTTTTTAATACTTCACCTCAGCACCTTCACCTTCTAAAAAGTTTCATCCCAACCACTCTGATAGTGCTTCATTTGTGCTTATTTTAAGTTTCCCTCTCCTATGCTCTAAATATCCTGTTATGTGCATTCCCCAGTGTTACGTTTTATTTATTGCCTCCTTTGTTGGGGGGAAGAATAATTTGTAAATGATTTTATTTAAAACTTGCTGACTTCTTGGGTTTTGTTCAGTATTTTTTTGCATCAGGAGTAGTATCCCTTCAGGCAGAATTCTGACACATACTTGCCATTATGGAGCTAAGAGCCACTTGTTGATTATCATATATTGGCCAGAAAGAGTGAAAAGTGTGAACAATGAAATGCCAAAGTCTTATATATGTTCATTTTAGAGCGCCTCTAACAGTTCATAGATTAAGCAGAGCTTGCTTGTTTCCTGTCAAATTTCTTCCTTCTTGGAGCTGTGTTTATTGATCAAGTTCTGTGAGTGACACACTGCCATCCTGCACCCCAACTCTTAGAAATTTCATCTGCCAAGCTCTTCTACACCTTGCCTTTGTAGAGTCAAAATGTATTTTCTCTACAGGCATACCACGTTTTATTGTGCTTCACGGATATAGTTTTTTTTTTTTTTTTTTTATTGTAAACAAATTGAGGGTTTATGGCAACTCTGCGTTGAGCGAG